TATAATTCTTGCTCTTCCTGAAGCACCTCTGGAGTCTTCTTTTCGTATCTTTACTGTCCTGGCTGCCTCGATGTCCTAAATTGGTTCAAAATGTTTTCCCTTCATGGTCATTTTGACTTTGGGGAAGATCCAGAAGTCACAGTGCCAGATCTGGTGAATAAGGTGGATGAGGACTCGCTGTAATGTTACTGTTTAACAAACTGCCATAAATATAAACTGCTTCAGAAAATGGCAAGATTCATAACAGGTACCAGCTCCTCACAAGGGATGCAATATCACTATGTGCTGTGAACATGTACCAATAAAAATACAAACAATATTAAGGGGCTAGGGATTTATTTAGCTTAGTGGTTCTGGCTTCTGCCTTGCCAGCACAAGAGCCCAAGTTTGATCCCTGGTACCAACAATAAAAAAAATGACGTGGTTTTGAAGTGAGGGAAGTATTTTGAAGGGGATTAATGGCAATATGTCTTTAACTGTAATAAAATTAATGTAAACATTAACCTATCTCTAGATCATATCTCCTAGGTTGGCTTATGCTGCAGTAATAAATATCCCCAACTGCAATGGTATAACAGAGCATTGATATCAAGGGAAGTGTAGAATTGAGCAGTCATCTTTGCTGACACTTAAATGCCCACTGCAGATGATGTGGCCACACCTAACTCAGGACAGGTGTGTGGGACACAGGTCCACCATGCATTGTTGGCACAGAGTGCCTGTCCCTGTAGTCTAGAAGGCTGAGAACTACAAGTTTGAGCACAGCCTGGGCAACTTAGTGAGACCCTGTCTCAAAAAAAAACTTTAAAGGCTGAGGATGGCTTTCAGTGTGAAAGCCCTGGGTTCAATCCTTAGTACTACCATAAAAAGGACATCGATCCTTCTCCCTTCTGCCCCCTTGCTTATCTGTCATACCTGTCATTTCCCTTTTCATGCCTCTGCATACATGCAGAGTGCCAAAGGCAGATGGAACTGGCTTTTTTGCCTAGAGAAGCAAGCTGTTAGGGGATCCCCTGGCCTGGCCAGGATTCCCAGGCAATTCTCCCTAGATGGTCCTGCTGGCAGAGGGGCAGCCCCTCACTTCTATCTGCATGACGTACCTGGGACTGTGTCCTTGGGCTGGGCCTTGGTCTCCTGGGAGCAGTAGACCATCAAAGCCCCACCCAGGCCTCCAGGATTCCCCAGGTAGAGAATGGGGGTACGGTGCCTGGCCGGGCCAGTGCTCAGTGGTACCCCTACCCTGCTGCAGGGCCACGACTGCTTCCCTGTGCTGTTCACCTATGATGGTGCTGCTGGGAAGCTGAACTTCGGCGGGCGGCTGGATGTGCCCAAGCAGAGCTCTCAGCGTGGTCTCACAGCCCGGGAGCGCTTCCAGAACCTCGACAAGAAGGCGAGCTCGGAGGGTGGCACAGCTGCAAGTGCTGGCCTAGACTCACTGCACAAGAACAGTGTCAGGTGGGAAACCCAACCTGGGAAGAGGGAAGTAGGTCGACCTCTTTAGGTCATACAAAAATGGCATCAGAGCAGGGCAGTGTCATAGTGGCACTCACCTGTGATCCTAGCACTCTGGGAGGCTGAGGATTAAAAGTTCCAGCCAAGCCTGGACAATCTGGTGACTTAGCAAGACTTGGTTAACGAATAAATAGGGGTAGGGATGTAGCTCAGTGTAAAGCTCCTGGATTCAATCCCTATTACCAAAAAATAAATAATTAAACAGCATCCAGCGATGGTGGGCACGGCCGGCCCCACTTCTGAGTTTAGATTGCTGGGTGAGGGCTTTAGTGCCCTGGGGCAGCTGGGCTGTAACCACAGCTTCACATGGGTAGGCATATGGATAGGACCCTGTGAGGTGTGGGTGGAGCTGAGGGTCCTGCGGCAGCCTGAGGATTAGGATGAGAAACTCCCCGCCAAACTCCAAAGCTGCCAGCCATAGGGGTCCACCCCTGAGAATGAGAAGGGAGACTTCCTGATTGAGCTCCTGAACCATTTAAGCCCCTCGTGGGCTGAACACGTTTCTACAGAAGACACTCCCCACCAACCCGTGTCCTCTGAGCCCCATTTCTTGCTGCTTTCTCCTGGCACACACTACCGGCATTTCTACACCCCAGACCATGTCCGTCTTCCCAGCCCAGTCCTTGAGTGTCCTGAGCCTGTTGCCAGGTCTGCCCTCTGCATCTTGAGGTCCACTGTGGGCTGTGCACACCCTGTCCCTGCACTTGGAAGATACAGCTTTCTTGGGGGTAGCCACAGCTGGAGTCCCCGAACCCCTTGTCACTTTTACAGCCAGATCTCAGTGCTAAGTGGGGGCAAGGCCAAGTGCTCACAGTTCTGCACCACAGGCATGGACGGCGGCATGAGCATCTGGGATGTGAAGGTGAGGCTTGCTGCACCCCTGACCTTCCACTAGGCCCCCAGAGTGGATCCTTCTTCCCCCACTTCCCAGCATCTGCTCTGGGTTGCCCTGGCCTTTGCTGCTACAGATGGGGATTCGAGCAGCAAGTGGCCCCCAATCCCTTGGCTTGCTTACCCACTGCCTGGGAGTCACAGGTTCTGTCCTCTGCTGGGCTGGTCCCTGGCATGGGGGTCTGTAGGACAGTTGAGAACCAGCCTTTTCTGCTCCTTGCAGAGCCTGGAGTCATCCTTGAAGGACCTCAAGATAAAATGACCTGTGAGGAATGCTGCCCTCATCCCAGCTGCTGGGAAAGGGAGGCAATGAAGGGCTGCTTTGCTGAATGCTTCTAGGGTACAGCACGGGTCTCCACAGGGCTGCTTCCTCAGAATGGGATCAGTGGGTGGGGAGCTTTTCACCTGTTCAGGGAACATGTGCCTTTTTCTTTAAAAAATGCTTTGTTTAAAAAAAAACACTCAAAAGCACAATGCTGGTCATAAACTGCTTCAGATGTTTCAGATGTGGAGATAATAAAAGTGCAGTTTTGGACATGCCTGTCTGTGTGTTTGGAAGCTGGCAGTTGAGTAAGACTGCTTGCCCAAGGACCTTCCCCCAAGGCTTCCTTCTCCCCCGTAGTCTGGCCCTGTGTTGTCACTCAAAGCTGCCAGGACCAGGCAGTCTCTTTCCTGTCACTCGGTCAGTAGATCCTATACAGAGGGGCTGTACATTCCAACCTAAACCTTAATGGAAATTGCTTATTTTTCCATTATGAGGTGGATGGGTCTTTTTTGTTTTCTTTTGATACCAGGGATGGAAGGGAACCTTCTGCTTTTGAGATAGGCAGTGGCACCATTGAGCTCAATCCCTAGCCCAGTGGGTCGTTTTTTGATAAACACTCATTTCTTCAATTTTTTATTTGTTTTACTCAGAGGTGTTTTTATCACATGCTTTCTACTCCTGAGCTTTATCCCAGCTCTATTTAAGCATCTAAGGGGGAGGGGATGTACTTCAGCAGTGCAGGGCCTGCCTGGCAAGCTCAAGACCCTGAGTTTGATTCCCAGTACCAAAAAAAAAAAATCTAAGATTTGCTAATAGTAAATTATCCTTATATCCATAAGCAAAAATGTAGATGCCTTATTGCTCACTGTGTTAGTGCCTATTCCCCTATATATCCTGTCAGAAGAGGCTCCATTCTTTTGTAGTCATAGTTAGAAGTTGCCAGACCCTAGCAGATAGTTTGAGGCTACACAGCTCACCTTATTCTTTTTTCTGTTTGAGATAGGGTCTTGCTAAGTAATCCAAATCATCCTTGAACTTGCAGTGATCCTTCTGCCTTATCCTCCTGAGTGCTGGGATTACAGGCCTGCACCACCATGCCCAGCTCACCTTGTTATTAACTAAATGCAAGCCTAGTCAGACCAAAGTGAGGTTCAGGCCCTGCACGTGATGACACCTCTTTTGTGGCTCCCTTCAGCTGGGCCAATATGGGTCCCAGCGACACTCAAATCAGTATTTTTCCTTCCCTTGTCCAAGCATATGTTGCTTGGCCTCCAGTGGGTGCTTTGCAGAAATCTCCTGGCCCTTGAATTTGGCTAGAACTTCCAGCCTACAGGAATACTTATCCATAAATCACCTAGGAGTCTAGGCACGACCTGTGGAAGCACATCCTTAGGTCACAGACACCAAGGAGCGGGTCCTGAGCACCAGGGTATCTCGCCACACATGGCCTCTGCATGTCAGCCATTCAGGCCTCCAGCCTCCACATGTCATTACAATCGTCTTGCAGCAGTGACAGGGCAATGCTTACAGCTGCCACATTCCTCCATTTTGCTGGAGAACCTCATTTCACAGTGACAAATTTGAACCTGGGCAGCAGCTGCATGCTTGATGGCTGGGAAGGGAGACAACACTGGCAAAAACTGTGGTAATTCTTGTTCCTCAGGGTCAAAGCTTCCAAGTCAAAAGGTGCAGGTGCTAGTAGCTGTGGGATCCTTCGTGCGGCTCCTGAACTCCAATATGGTCAAGCTCAGGGGCATGTATTAGAAGCCGAGTTGAGCCACTAAATCATTTTGTCTGACCTCAGGCAAACCGTATTACCCCCATTCGCAGTCCCCGAGCACCAGGTCACAACACTGTTCCTAACAAGGTGAAGTACCCCTCTCATGGGCAGAGGCAAGACAGGCCCGTGGGTTCCCTTGAACTGGCCTGAATCTGCAAGGCAGCCTACTTCTTGGCAGTAAAACTACTTCCCCACTGCCCACCCTGCCATACTGAGCAAGGATGAAATTCCTCAAGTCCAGCAATCAGTGCTGGGCAGCAGCTTCTGAGAGGCTTCCCCCAGCATAGAATTAGGCTGTGACCACCAGGGGTCACCTGTAGGCCAGGAAAGGGAGGCTCTGTTGCTGCTCTGGCCTGGTGTGGGACAGACCAGTCCCTAGCCATAGTACCTGAGGTCTCTCCTCTCTAATCCTGGGCTCAGTCCCTGCACCCTGCAGTTGTGCCCAATAGAAGGTTCACTACGTTCCAGGAACCTTGGTGCACTTGCCTCAGTGACACCATGAGCAAAAATGGCTCAGGCACAGAAGCCAAAGGATGGATTGCAAAACAAGGATTACGATATTGTCAAGTTTAATCTGCCAAATATACAAGTTGAATTTGTGGAGCATGTTTTGCCTGGGTGCTGCACAGTAGACAGGTTTCTTGAAATGATTGATGGGTCAGGTTAAAAATGGGACCTAGCCCTGGCAGATGTATGGGAACGGCGCAGGGAAGGGCAGAGAGGAGACCTGTTAGAGGACACTGGCCAGGGACGGAGAAGCCATGAGACCCAGGGCATACTCTCCTCTCCAAGTAGCACCCAGAAGGCAGACTGGGGCTGGCTGTTGCAAATGTGCCAGCAGCTGCCACTGGCACCACCCCCCGCTAATGTGCAATCTACTGAACAAATGATAGCTCTTCTGACCCACCTCCCAGGCACCCCCCACCATGGTTCTGAATTCTAAAAACAGCAAAAACATTCAAATGGTTACATATGAAATGCTGTCCTGCCTCTTTCTGTCTCAAAAGATAGCAGCTGCCCCTTCCCCAACCCCCACCCCCCTGAACAATTTCTGTGCCAAGGTGAAGAGGCGGCCCCAGGCCATGGGGGCTCCTGGCCATGAGGGGCTGCTGCAGCAGTGCCAGGGCACAGGGCGGACGAGACACAGCGGCAGTCCTGGTGGTGCAGTCCAGTTCCCTGGCCTCTCCTTGCACGGGTGGCGCTTACTTATTCAGGGAGAGTGACTGCATCCGCTTTCCAGACAAAGTCGCATCATCTTTTGCTGAGGAGTTGGAAGCGAAGGGCAGGATTAGAACAAAGCAAAACCACCCACCATGTACCCTTCAGAACCTCAGAGGTTTAGTTCTGAGGGATCTCAGAAAACATTCTATTTTGCTGGCTCAGCTGGCAGATGAGCAAGAGACCCAAGGGAACTGCTGCTGCCCACTGCAGAGGAGGATTTCTGCTGAGCCACAAGACCCAGAAGCCCAGATAGTCCTGTGGTATTTGAGTGCCTGCCACCACCTCAAGAAAAGCTACCCCCACACAAGGACCCACTAACATGTACTCCAGGTGGGCACCTGGAAACTTCTTCCATCTCTGGCATAGCCGCTAATTACAATCTCTATGGATTCTCAAAGCGGGGAAGCCTCAAATCAGCAACACAGAATTAGACAGGAAGTCCTATTCTGCTTTGGGCTTGGTATTTGGATTTTTGCTGTTTGTTTTTGCCAAGTGAGGTTTATGAAGCTAATGCACCTCTAGCACAGGGGCCACTGAGCACTGGCTCCCCACTCTCAGGTGTCACAATTTGGATACATCTCCTGGAGGCTCTTGTGTGGAATGATGGCCTGGTTTCCCAGGCAGCGAGGTTGGAGGCGGAGACTTTAGGAAGTGACTAGCTCCTGAAGAGCTCAGACCTCATCTACAGATTCACCAATTGATGGGTTCATAGTTCAAAAGGTACTGAGAGGTGAAGGGAATTTACAGGGTAGCAACTAGCTAAAGTAAATGAGTTGCAGGGGACATAATCCTGGAAGGGTGTTTATTCGTCACCAGCCTCTTTCTCCTGCTTTGCTTCCTGGCTGTCACGAGATGAGCTGTTGTGCTCCACAACCTTCTACCATGATGTTCTGCCTTACCAAACAGCCCAAAGCAACCTTGGACCAAAACCTCTGAAACCAACCCAAAATAAATCTTTCCTTTTAGGTTGATTTCCTTTGTCACAGTGACAGAAAGCTGACTACCACACAGGGCCTGTTTCCTTCTGGCCTGATGAAGAGGCAGGACAGTGAGATCTCCAAGATCTCTCACACCCCCCAAAAGATGGAAGGTCTCAAATGTTCCTTCCTATAAACCAGACCAGCTGTTCATGGCCACCCACCTATAGGAATCCCAGGCACCTTTGGCTGCCTAGAGGAACAGCACAAGGAGGAGGGGCACTTGGATGACTTCAGTTGGGTTTGTCCTGTTATACATTATCTATTATCCCCTTGCAAACTCCTAGGTTGGATGGTACGGACTCCGGGCAACCCTCCTAGCTTCACATGATACTAGGTCTTTTTTTTTTTTTCCCCTTTCGGTATCATGGATCAAACTCAGGTCCTTTCGCATTGGAGGTAGGTGCAGTGTCACTGAGTTTAGTCCCAGGCCTGCTACTAGGTCTTAATAGGACCTTCCAACCCTGAAAAGCCTCTACTGTGCTGAGAGGCCTCTTGCTGCTGGGGGCAGTGACCATTCCCCTACCAGAAACAGTACTTTTGCCAAAATTTCAACTAGCACAACTCCAGGACAGCACTGTATAGACCTCCCAGGAAGGACAAGGGCAGAAGCACCCCGATCAGTGCACATGTAGAACAGACCTCTGCAGAGTGCAACAATGTGATCAGGCAGGTGTCACTCTGCACTCCCCTCCACCTCACAGACAAGGACCTAAGTGCAGAGTTTGATAGCTTCAGTAGAAGCAGAGCCAAGTAGCCAGTTCTAGTACCAGCAGCTCAGGACTTACCTTTCCTCTCCTCTTCTTTCTTCTTTGCAGCCTCCTCTCGCTGTTTCCGGATGATAGCCAGCCGGGCAAGGTCAGCCTTGGCCTGCTCTGTCTTCCCAGCTAAATGCATCTTCATGTAGCGTTCTTTTGCTTTCTGCTTCTCAATTTCTTCTCTTTTGAGATAAAACTAGTGTCACAGGGGGCATTTTCCCCACTACTGTTACCTTTTTTTGGGAGTGGGGTGGAGACAGGGTCTTGCTATGTAGTTCAGGCAGGCCTTGATTTTTTTTTTTTTTTTTTTTTTTGAGACGGTCTCACTATGTAGTTGAGACTCACTATGTAGCCCAGGCTGGTCTCAAACTCAGAGTGATCCTCCTGCCTCAGTCTCCCAAGTGCTGGGATTACAGGCGTCCATCACCATGCCCGGCTTTGAGGCTGGCCTTGAACCTGTGGCAATTCTCCTGCCTCAGCCTCCCAAGTGCTACAAGCTCCCACTACTGTTAATTGAGCTAGAAGTGGGAGCAAGAATAAAGGCCAAGCACTTGGGCCTAGAGCACAGGTAGTGGAAGAGGGCTCTCCTGCTGAGGAAGGGACTCCATGCACCATTTGATGACTACTCAGCAAAGCAAGCAAGCAGAAGGAATGGGCCAAGATGGCAAACACCTGTGAAGAAGCCTTGGCACAAGGCGAGACAATGTCTGGCTGTGGAGACACAGGAAGATTCTTGAGGGCTTTAGGACTAGTGAGAAAGGGGGACCTAAAGCAAGTAAACCATGCTCCAGATGAGCCAGGGGGCTGAGCCCCACATGGGAAACTTATTCACTCTTGCATCACTATGATGTGGTACATTCTTATAGAGGTGCAAGAGGCTGTCTCTCTAGGGAGTGAGCCCTTAATAAGAATGTAGGAATAAAAGCTGGCCTTGATGTGACAAAGGTGTTTTTCACCCCACTAAAACAAGAGTGTAGAAGGCCATTAGCTTTCCTGCCAGAACCTTCTTCCCAAGCCTGAATCTGCACTGGCAGGGGCACCACAGGCTGGGGGGGTGGTTTCCCTTGCACTCATCTGGAAGGAGCCCAGTGTTGGAGGCCCAAAGAGCTCTGCCCAGTAGGACAGAGGAGACCTTCACAGTCCAGAGGGCTGGGGAATAATGCGAAAGGCAAGAGGGGAGCCACTGGGAATGGGATAGACATCTCAACCAGGGTACTGGACAAAGACACTTGCTGCAGAGAAGAGCAGATAATAGCAGCTCAGCCCCTAGCAGGGGCATGCCAGACTCAGACACCTGGAACGAGCCTGCTGCCCCAAGGCTCTTCCGGCCTCCTCAGTGAAGGCCACGTGCCAGTCAGGGCCCTGGCCTGTATTTGTATTGTCATCTCTGCAACCACAAAGGGAGGGCCGACAGCAGGATCCCCTTTGTGCCAGTGAGAACACTAAGACCAAGGAAGGGCAGTGACTAATTTACAGTTGCTCAATGGTGAAATGGTAGAACTTGGGTGGGCAGCAGAGTCGTCCTGCACTGGGAAGGCCAACACCAGCCCAGGCTGTTGGGCTGGGAAGTCAATCCCAAGAAAGAAGCTACTGCAGGGGTGGGGAGAAGAGTCCTTCAAAGTATCTGATCACATCCCACACTTGCAGACTTTCCCTGCGGAGTTTTCATAGACATGTTCCCTGTCTCTCCTAGGGTCTACACGGGTTGGTGGACTCAAACCCTAGCAGCTTGATCAGGAGAAACCAGGCTACTTTCCCCAGCACTCTTCAACCTCTTAAAAGACACCTGAGATCACCTTGTGGCCACACAAAATCAGAGCAAATGAGGCCCTGGGTCAGTCCTCAGGAAGAAAGACAGACAGAGGCAGAGAGCATGAGAGAGTCAGAGAGAAACTTTTTTATCAAGGACTATATGCCAGGTACTTTAATACTTGATTTCAACATCCATACAACTCATGAGAAGTATATTCCACTCCATTTTTACATAGGACTTCAGGGATATGGAGCAGCCAGCTGAGTTAGTAGTACCTCTGGGCAACCCAGGCCCCTAATCCCTATGGCCACGACCTCATGGATGGATACAGGCTAGGAATGGTTAGGACTGGGTTAGAGAAGGAAGTCTTTCTAGGGTGGGTACTATGGAGACCACACAGCCCTGGCCATCACTTCAAGTGCAGCCTGAAAGCATGTATCTATCTACTGGTGAAAGTCTGTACTTACTTTTTTTTTTTTGGAGATATCTTTAGGAAATGAGATGAAACAGAAACAAGAGTTTCACCCTCCCACCCCTCACCAGGCACAACCCATAGGTCAACCCCCTCCCCTGGGTGCTATCACAAGGCTTGCCTATAGGACATTACCGTTCTCTCCTTGAAAGCTCTTTTGGCCCGTCCAGATCCAGTTGCGTGACCTTTTTGGTTGTCTGTGCCACCCGGTTGGGATTCTCAATGTCGATGAGCCCTTCCACGCCTTTGCGTTTTTGCTAGGACAGGGCAAGAGGCTGGCTATTGGAGAAGCTCAGGTTCTGCAGAAACCCCTGGCCAGTCTCACCACCTCCCAGGAGCCCATCAGGATGGGCACAGATTCCTGCTCCACCTCCAGCCCACATGACAGTTGGCCCAAGTCTCAAAGTGAATAAAGCATTCAGGAGCAGAAAATGAGTGTGCAAGGAGGGCCCAGCCTTTGTCAAGCCCCAGCAAATGGGGACTATTATCCTCATTTCTGAGGTAGCAAAATAGCAGCTTAGGGTCAAATAATCAGAAAGTGACATTAGATGTGACGAGAATACCAGCCCCAATCACAAGCTCCCAACACATAGCACTACTTTCCCTGCTTGAAGCTCAGGCCCCAGCAAGAATGTTATATGGACTCTTAGTCCCTACTTTTTCTGCAACAAGTATGTGGTGGATTCCTGGGTAGGAGAAGGCACAGATGTGTATTCTCTTAAATAATGCTAACACCCACCCATCTCAGCTGATGGACAGATGCAACTTGGGAACAAATGGGAAACGAGAACACAAGTTCTCTAGCAGGTCTGGTCAGTTTCAGGCTATGTCAATCCTAGCTTTTCTCTTTAAGTGACCAGGGAGTCACTTAAATGATAGCAGTTCCCCACATTGACTGCTCTGGCCACTCCAGAGTCCACATACCTACACCCAAACTAGCTTTCTATTTACAACTCCAATGGGATGGCCAATGCTGCAAACATATTTAAGACAGAACTGGAGGGCCAGAGCTTTAGCTCAGTGTTGCCACCGCCTGCCTTGCAAGTGCAAGGTCCCAAGTTCAATCTCCAGTACCAAAAAAAAAAAAGACAACTGGAGATTCATTCTTCACCTAAACTGTTCCATTTCTTACTTGTAAGCTCATCCTTGATTTCTCCTTCTTTCTGCAAGCCCCTAGCATAGCCTCAATCTGTTTACTCTTGTTATTGCCAAAATTCTTTTTTCTGGACACATACTGCCATCTCTCTGATTCTGCTGTCAACCTTCTACAATTCTCTCTATACAAGGAAGCCTAAGTCTACCTTTAAAAGCAAAGTTGGTCCCATCTTTTCTACTTTTTTTGTTTTGGTTTTTTGGTACCAGGGTTCAAACTCTGGACCTTGCACTTGTGAAACAGGCATCACTGACCTAAATCCCCGGTCCACCACTTTTCTACTTTAAGACCTCCGCCAGCCACCCACTCCCTAATGTAATGAAATCTAATCCCTTGGACAGCTACACAGAAGCTGCCCTCTCCTCTTTCATCCTCAACCACTCCACTCCTTACCCACTAAGGCAAAGCCCCACTGGCCCCATTCTGTCCTTGGAACTTGCCAAGCTGGTCCCCACCCCAGGGCCTTTGCATTTACTTGCCTGGTTACCTCAACTGTCCTGTACAACAATTTTCACATAGGTGGCTCCATCCTGTTTTTCGTATCTCAGCTTATAAACCACCTCATCACCACACTATTCCAAATACCTTTTATCATTCTGTTTTATTCACAATATTTACCACTTTTTGCCATCCCTTTACTTCATTATCCATATTTCCATTAGACTGTAAACCCTTAAGAGCAAGGGCTTTGTCTATATCTACCACTGGGACTGGTGATAAACAAGCACTCAGTAAATGTTTGTTGAATGTATATGTCCAGATCCCAGGCCACCGTCTGGATCTCAGAATCCAGACTCAGTACCTGGTAGTCATCATCTTCATCCTCACTGTCATCAGAGTCCAGAGATTTCTTCTCCTTTTTGGGGTCACCTGCAGCCCCATCTCCACCTTCTTCTTGTTCCTCTTCTTCCTGTTTCAGAAATGGACAACCTGCAGAATCAAAAATGCAAAACAAACCCCCAAAACTGTGACCCTACCACCACCACCCTTATACTATGGACCTTGACATTAAGCCTCTGGAAGACTGGGACAAAGTATGTCAAGGGTCCAACTCTGCACACCTGGCCTCCAGGGTAGGGGACATCACAGCCTGGAGGCCAGGCCCACAGTCCAATAAGTCCTTTGCCCAGCTATGAAAGGCCCTGCTCCTCTTTGTGGCACCTTGTGCAGCCTGATGAGAAGCCAGGAGCACTGAAAGTGAAAAGGTGTGTGTGAGTGTGGGAAGGCAGGTCAGCATGTGGTAACGAGTTTGGTAAGAAGCTTTGTGTGGCTGCAGCAAACAAGTGGGATGCTGGGAACGCAAGCTGAGGATGGACAGAGGCAGGCAGAGAGACAGTCCCTACAAGGCAGGCACACAGGGCCAGAAACAGAGACTACAACAAATGTTACAAAGTGATCAAAGTTCTAAGTGATCCATTCACAAGATGGGCCCCCAACTATGACTGTTTTAGGGCTCATACCTGCTGTCTACTGCCCTTCCCAACCCCACATGCCTCCTTGTAAATGGTACCCGAGGCAAGGCAGCACCTGGGCCACTGGAGTGAGTAGACAGGGATGTACTCACTCTGGCTTTCTGCTTTTCAGCCTGGAGCTGGGCGTCGATCTCTTCAGGGCTTGTATACTGCCTTGCTCGGCCTTTGTGGCCTCCCTTTCTTCCTGCACAAGGGTTAGTAGTTTAGGAAAGTGAGAGAGGAACAATTGCTCTGATGAGCCTGACTCCCTGGGGGTTGTGTTTTGCCTGGATCCTCTTATCTGAGGCTGCAGAAATCTACCCTTCACCAAGGGCCACAAAAACCCACATCTCCCTCCCCACCTGTGTTCAAAGAGACACAGAAAGCAACTCATAATGACCTGACGCACCACCAAATAGTATGCTGGATGCAAGTTTCCATGAATGAGAGCCTAGGGGAGGACACAGGGTACTGTATATGGCAAAGTGACTGATTAACTCCCCTGGTCCTTTAGAACCCAAAGAGAGTGGACTCAGACACAAGCACAAAATCTTTTAACATTTATAGCCCTGCAGCCACTATTGGGCTTTTTACTTGCAATGTTCTCTCACAGTCACAGGCTCACTTGATCTTCAGAACAACCTATAGTGCAAGTCACTGCTGGTCTTGTTTTGTAGACAAGGAGACTTTAGATCAAAGGAGCAGTGAAAAATAAAACTTTTATTATTTTGGGGGGGTACTGAGGATTGAACTCAAGATCCCGTGCTTGCAAGGCAAGCGCAGAGCCACTGAGCTAAAGCCCCAGCCCAAGAATAAAAACTTTAAGAGTCTAACCCCTGGGTTCAAATCTCAGCTAGATTTGTTAGCTTCTCAAGAATCTTAAGTTTCCTCATGTGGCCCTACCTCATAGGTCTACTATGAAGACAGATCAGTTAACAGACACAAAGCTGCCAGAACAGTCCCTAGCACAGGACAAGCACTACAAAAATGTCTGCTAAGTGTTGTTTCTCTCTCTGAAATAGTATTTGGTAGAAAAACAATAAAAACACCACTGATCACATAAGCAATTTACTGCAAATGTCAGAAAAAAAAAAGAATAAAATACCCCATGTTTACTTAGTGATATGGTAGAGAGAATACTTAAGAAGAAAAAAATCCAAATTCTTTGTGCAAGATCTTTGGGCTTGGAATGAAATTAGCAAAGGAGGTCAAAGATAATCCTGACTATAGTCTAAGGTGTTATAAATGTGGCTGGCAATAAAAAATTCATCTAAGAGTATGAACTTTTATACTGTGAACCTAAGCCAGAACACTAGACTGACCCCCACTAATGCCATCCACTAGTTTTATATCAGAGTGGCTCCCTCCCAACACAGGACCTCTCCTGGATGCTGTGATCCACCTGATTTCCAGAGGGCCACTTGCTGTGAGCAGAGAATGTGTAATTAGATAGAGCTGCTCCGGACTCCAAAGACAGTAGTGGGGATACTAGTCTTCTCTAATTTCCTAGAGAGCAGCTGCAGAGCCACAAATGGACTACTACAGCCAACACCACCCATTTTTAATGACTACCTAGGTTCCCAGGGGTATTTAAGTCTATGCTTGTGAAAAGAATACTGTGAGAAACCAAGCTTGCCATTTAAAAACCAACACCTTTTCTTACCCTCTTAATATACCAGACCATGGTTAACAACTAAAATTTGGTTAGTAGAGGCTCTCAGCCCCTACACCTGGCTATTGGACTACAGTAACTTTTATCAGTCTTTAAGACTTTAAAAACATTTCACGGATAGCACAGTGAAAATAAGGAGAGCTGGTCCTTTGCTCTTGGGAAATTTTATACTTTTAACACCTTCATGATTTGTGTTTCTGACCAAACTGACCCAAACAAGGAAACCCTGTGTGTCTGCAAAGCTGTTTCACAAGCCAAAAGACCAAGTCATTTAGCTAGAATTCATATTTAAGATCTTCTAATTGTAACTTCTAACCTGGGACAGAATGTTATAACTGGAAAGGTTCATTCATAATGCTAACCCCTTGCCTTTTACAGATGAAGAAACTGAGAAACATGAGACACGAGTCTGCCAGCCACAGAATAAATTGTCAAGAGAGCCAGGTTTTAAAAGATTTGGTTTTGTAAAGCCTAATATTTCTGACGTTAGGAGTCGGAAGTAATTTAGGTCTGAAAGAGCTCGAGGCAGATGTTCCCTGTAGGCTGACTGCATTAACCAGGGTAACACATGAGCTGCCAATATGAACTGAGCATCTGCTTTGTGCCAGGAGCTAGCCAGGCACTTTCCGTGCTCTCTCATTTTATGGCTCCTGTTCCTAACTTGCAAAGCTAAGGATTATCATGCCAGTGTTCTGGATAAAGAAAACAGGATAATGATATAGCTGGAATTCAAAGCAAGACTATAGATTCTAAAAGAGAAAAACGATGGGAGATGGGCTACAATGTGCTGGGAAGCCACGGACCTTCTTGATCAAGAGATGGCAAAATCCCATCCAAACAATAATAGTTAATGCTCACTGGGACTTAACTACTGTCCAACACTCTTGGAGCATTCTATGTGTACTGTTCACTTTAAGCCTCACAGCAGTATTATGCGGCAGACACAATCCCAACTGCAAATGAGAAAACTGAGACACAAGGTTATGCGACTGGCTCAAAGGCACACAATGAGCTTCTACCGAGCAGGGGAGTCAAATCAGACATGGCAGACCTCAAAGTATCTTATTAGGGAGCTCTGGCTGAGCAGGAGCCTGAGAGGGCCCACAATTTACGCGATACGCAGGCAAGCCCGGCAAAGGCGTAGGACGCTGTGACTCAGTCCCTGGCCAACACAAAAGTGGGAGGAAACGCCGGACCCCTCGCCCACCCCTCCAGGATGGCGGAAGCGTTCCCCAGCGACAGGCCTTCCGTACTGGTGAGGACCGAGCCCCTGAATCTCCTCAGAACCCCGAGAGTGCGGCTCCAGACAGCCACAGTGCTTAAATTTGCCACAGAGAAAATTGGGCGTCGAGGCCCAGGCCTGGCTCTCACTGGGCGCGCAGTCTCCCTCGGCGCAGTTCTCCAAGACGCCCTCGGGTTTAAGGCACAGCAGGAGCCGGCCCCGGGTTACCCCTCCAGACGCGTGAGCACGCGTGCCTGTGTCTCACCTCCTTTAGGCATCGCGGCTGGGGCGGCTGCGGCGGCGGCGCCTCGAACTGACACAGGAACCGGAAACACTTTGGGCTCTACTTCTTCCGCCCGGCCCAGTCCGCTCAGCGCGCCGCCGCCGCTGCCATTGCCGCGAGACAGGGGACCTCATAGAGGCCGGCTGAAGAGTCGGGCTGTCCCGCGGGGCGCCTGAGTCCAGGGCTATCCCCGCGCTGCCTGGCAACAGCATTACCAGTGTCTCCGTCTGTGGAGACTTGTAGTCCCGCCGGTCCCTTCGCCGGTCCCTTGCCGGGAAGTCAGAACAAAGGACCTCAGCGGCTCCGGAATTCTATACAGGCAGTACAGAAGACACCAAAAGTGACGCAATCGTTGCGCGCACTGGGGCGGAGCTTCGTGGGGTCCTCATCCCACAGAGACCAGAAGGGGCGGAAGCAGTCTATTGAGACGCGGAGACCCTAGGTGCTGAATCTTCCGGTGAGTGTTTTTCCTCTGTTCTTTAGCGCTTGGCAGCTGCTGAGGCTGAGACCAGAGTTCTGCGGAGGGCGATCTGAGCAGCTTCCCTTAGAGGAGTCAGCGCCTTTTTTGTTCTGCCGAGGAAATGGTAGATTTGGGATGTTCTTTGTATTCTAGGCTTTTCACACCCTTTTCCCTGTCGGACTCTTTTTTTTTCCTCCTTAACTAAATAATGTTTTCTAAACACTGTTCGGATGACATCCTTTTTAGGAGCCGTTCCTACAGTCTTGGCTATAACATCCTCTCCCTCTCGTCGGTCTTGAGTGTCCCTACCCTTATATACTACTCAACACCTCTGCTCTTGATCCCTTTACCTCCTACCTTTATTCCCCCTCCCCCGCCCCCCGCGCATCTTCTCACTTCCATGTTGAACCAGGACTGTTGAATTTCCCTGGGTCAGAGGAGAGTGTTTTGTCACTAGCTGTGCGCCTTGGGGCAGGGACCAGATTCGCCCATATCTAGCTTCAGCGCAAGGGAAACCAGAGTAAAGACCACAGATTTGGGAGTAAGGAGCGCGCTAATCATTGTCTGAATCAGGCAGTTCCCAGCTCTGCGACCCTGACTTCACTGCTTAGAGTTTATCTGAAAAGTTGCTATGGTGTATTTAATGTTATGGGCAGAGGGCTTTGTAAAGCATCAGGTATCTTACAGCAGGGGGGACTGAGTAAATGTGGGAGAGATGGGTTGGCTGTGCTTAAAGGTAGATCGCCTGAAGTTCACTTTGCTGGCTAGGAAATGCTGTGTAGTTTGAATATATTTTGCAATTTAGATTTAGACTGGCCTTTCGTATAAACTTTACCTGACTTTATGAAACGTGTTCATTAAGTCTAAAAGGGACTTTGACAGCTGGACGTGGTGGAATACGCCTGTAATCCCAACACTCTGGAAGGCTGACGCAGGAGGATTTGCAAGTTCAAGTCCCACCTTGCCTACTCAGTTGAGACCCAGCCTCAAAATAATAAAATAAAAAGGGCTAGGGATGTAGCTCAGTGTGAAAGCCCTGGGTTCAATCACCAGTCCCATTAAAATAAATAGGACTTCAGCAATCAGTTAATCTACTGTCCTCATTTTACAGATGAGACTGAGGACCAAAGAGGGAAATTGATCTCCAAAGTCAGAATAATTAGTAGAGTGAGACAAAAGTCCCTTGCCTATAACTGCAGAGACCACAGATCTTTCTACTTCGTTCTTGAAAAGAGACCCTAAGGTACTGTGATTTTACAGCCATCTTTACTCTTTCAAACACTCATCCCCTTTGCTCCCTCAGTTACAGCCCTCACACTGGATTGTGATTGCCTTTTCACTTGTGTGCCTTAGTTCTTTTGTGTTTCCAATGTCCAATATGGGCCAGGAAGTGAATATAGTAATGAGATTCTTATTTTCCAGATCTCTGCAAATTATCTTGTAAGGGATAAAAAATGCCTAAAGTCAAAAGAAGCCGGAAAGCTCCCCCAGATGGCTGGGAGTTGATTGAGCCAACACTGGATGAATTGGATCAAAAGATGAGAGAAGGTGAGTGAGATACTCCTGCCTGGGTTGGTTGCATGGGGATACACAGGCTTAGCTTCCTCCAGCACCAGGCACGATCTCAATGTAATAAGAGTTTTGTCTTCTGACACTAGAGTATACTGTTTGCTTATCAACCTAGAATGCTATACCTACTGGAAAGCAAGATAACATTCGTGAAAAGGGCCTTAAAAAAGTTTTTGAATCAACTTAAATATAGGTCAGAGTAGTCTTATTACTTACTGTTTTGGTTAGGTGTATATTTAAAATAATACAAAGTATGACACTTGAAGATGCTATTTTTCTTTTTTGTTTGTTTTTTTTTGTGGTGCTGGGAATCAAATCCAGGTCTTGTGCATACTAGGCAAGCATTGGACTACTGACCGAGCTGTACCCCCATTCCCTGAGACAAACTTTTAAATGCTTGTTTATAATGAATTTTAACCACTGTTACTATGAGGCCACATCTTCAACAATAATTACTAAATCAGTTTTAAATTATTTTCCCCCCTCTTTTCATACTGATTGTGCCAGATAATGTTTATTAAACATCCAGAACTTTCAGTAATCAACATCATTGTGGTCTGAGAGACTTCACTCCCAGCAGCTTTTTGTCAAAATAAAACAAGTGTGCTAGAATAAAAGAGATTTTGTGTCCTTAAAAATAAATTCTACTTCCTCCTTTAAGGTTTTTTTTTTTTTTAATTTCTTTGTTTTTCCTTTGCAATGCTATGGCTTGAACCTAAAGCAAGGGGTAACTTTTGAGCAGAGGGGAATCTTACGTTGTATTTAGATGCATATACTATTGTCTCCAAAATGAAATACTTTTCCTCCATTTATGCTTAACAGCATAGTCTTTTAGCATTTCTTTACTTCTCCTATTGTTGATGAATACACTGTATAAATATATCATAGCTAGTTTATGTTACCTTTTTTTTCTTCACTATAAAATAAATAGCAAGCCACATGGTGGTGCACACCTGTAATCCTAGAATTCTGGGAGACAGAGGCAGGAGAATCACAAGTTCAAGGCCAACCTGGACTTTATCCTGAGATCTGGTTAAAAGAAAAAAAAAAAACAAAAAACAAAGATAAAGACGGGTGGGGAGAGAATGAGAATAGCAGCCCAAGTAGATGATGAGTGGCACCGGACACCTGATGTTAATGTTCGGAGTGTTAGGGAGCTCTACATTGGAGACAGGCAAAAGCTGGAACCTATTTTACTATATGGAAATGCAGGCTCAGCTTTGCTGGATTTGCTGAACTAAAAATATGAAGAAGAGTCAAGAATGGCTCTGTGACTTCTGGCTCAAGAAAGAAAGCAGCTGGGCATGGTGGCACACACCTGTAATCCCAGCACTCGGGAGGCTGAGGCAGGAGGATTGCTGTAAGTTCGAGACCAGCCTGGGCTACATGGTGAATTCCAGGTCAGTCTCAACTACATAGAGACACCCTGTCTCAAAAAAAAAAGAAGCACCTTTGGGATGGGAGATAAGGATTTCAATTCTAGACAGGTTAAGTCTGAGATGTTTTAGATCTCTAAGGCTCTCCAGATGTCCTGCCCACTCATGTTCTTGGGACACCTAGAGAAGAACCTTCCCTAGAGCAGGCGCAGAGGCTTATGTGCTTCATTCACAGAATCCTGTCTTTTGAGTAGAATTATAAATTCTAGGTGATAGAATGGCGTAGAAGTTGGGACAAGTGGAAATGTAGTTTTCTTGAACACTCCTTGCCTTTCCCCTATGCCTTAAAAACTTGAGAGGAGCTGGGTATGACAGCACTCATATTGCAGCTCCTGGGGAGGCTGAAATAAGAGGATGGTGAATTTGAGTCCAGCTTGTGCAACATAGTAAGCACCATCTCAACAAAACTGAAAGAATGTAGTAAAGAAAAGATGTTTTTCTTTCTTTTTTTGGTACTGGGGATTGAACTCTGGACCTTGCACTTGTGAGGCAGGTGGGGCTCCACTGATCTAAACCCCGCCCCCAGCCAACAAAGATCAATTTTAATTGTTAAAAGAGAATTGCCTTATGGTGAGTGAAATTCATTCACCATTCCTGGGGCAGCATCGAATTGTGAAAAACTGCAAATTTCAGATATGATCAGAAAAATGCCTATAAATTCCTATTCTTGGTTTAAATCTTAAATATGCTATGTCTCCCTCAGCTATGTAATTTAATAAAAATTCCTGTTCTCAGTTTAAATCTTAAATATGCTATGTCTCCCTCAGTTTTGTAATTTAATTTAATAAAATACTGTATTAATAAAGCCTTAGAAGGTACAGGCCATTTTGGCAGCATCTTAGGGCTCTTAGGGCTTTAAGAACAACCTAGAACTACAGAGATATTACATGCAGTTCAGCAACCTGTTATGATGCAGGAATGCTGGTTACAGGGCACCAGCCAGCCAGCAGCAAGAACTGAATAACAGTTCCAATTGGCTACTTGCAAATATCCTGCCAAAAACCAATTATGGAGGATACTTTCGGTTTCCAAGAAATTGTGAGGCTTTCTAAGACCTTTTATTAGTTAGGTCAGACTTTTCAGGGAGTATACTGTTCCACCTGATCCTAAGCCTGTTGAAGCAGCAGTCATTTACATACTGCTGAAAACCTTCAGATTGTGCACTTGTTTTGGCTTTTCGTCAGTCCTAAAGGATTTTACCTGGGAAATGAAATTAGAGGTACCTTAAAAATTATTAGGCTGCATATCTATGAGCCCAAGATTATCTTGAGAAATTATCAAGCTGTAGAAATAAGTCTAGAGAAATGAGACCGAGGTGTTAACAGAGGTTATTGTTGAATGATTTTCTTCTTAATCTGTTTTCTAATATTTCTAATTTAGAAGGTATTTTAAATTTAAAGCAATTATATTTGAGTCACTTTTTTCCTAATAATTGCTTGAGAATTACATGCTGAGAAATTTATTTATTTTTTTCCCCTGTACCAGGGATTGAACTCAGGACCTTGCAGTTTGCAAGGCAGGTGTCAGCACCACTGACCTAAGTCCCTGGCCCAGAAATTTACCTTTTAAAGCATCCAATTAAAAGGTCTTGGTATATTCATAGTTGTGCAGGCATCACCAGTTTTACATTTCCAGGTTTATCCATGTTGAATCATGTACTTCATTGTATGTGTGTGTGTCTTTCTGTCTGTCTGTCCACCTGCATGCATGCCATACTGGTGATTGAAACTGGGCCTTTACAGTGAGCTGCATTTCCCACCCCTTTAACCATTTAATTTTTGCTCCCCAGAGCCTCTCAGGCAGCACATTTGTTTATACACTTAGTATCCCAAGCATCCATCCCTCACAGGTGTCATTTCAGCCAGTTGATTCTTGTATTGAATAAATTTGGTAAAATTATCATTTTTATATCTCCTGTTACAGTCTTACGAAAATTAACAAAGTGCATACACACACACACACACACACACACACTCACACATGTACATGGATAGGTGCACAGGCGGAGGAGCACATGTTACCACACATGCACTTCTAGTCCATGGGTCTTTGCTCTGGTCAAGTGGCAGGGGTAAGCTTTTTGTTTTTGTTTTGCTTTGTTTTGTTTTTTTTTTTGGTAAGCTTTTGTTTAAATGGGCCTTTTCTTTCCTGGGAGCACAGAGTACAACTGTAATTCATTCACTTCCTGACAACCAGACCTCCTCCTGCGAGGAGGAGACAGGCCACATTTGGAACTTGGAGCACAAAGAAGACATAAGAAAAACTCATTTTCACAACTGAAGCACAGCCTTAGTAGAGATCCAGTGGCCCTGCAGGGGGTCCTGTGTACATGGGACAGTTCCATGTACACTGGAGAGTTTTAAGATGGTGTAGGTGTTCCATATATCCTGGGAGGTCCTGTGTGCACCAGCAGTCCCATACATACTCGTCATTCTCACCAGGGAAGGCAAGTGAGCACGTGCTGGGAACTTGTAGGCCCTTCCTCACCCAGGTGAGCATTGATGGCTTTGAGCAGGCCTGTCTCAGCAAGGGGACTTAGCTAACCCTTACTATCTCCCTTCTCCTTGAAGAGTTGAGCTTCATAGGAGTCTGAACTTACGGATAATAAAGTTTTGAGTCCATGAAAAAAATAAAAGTTAACAAAAAACACACAATATTTGGTCATCCTGTATTTAAATAATTGGACTGGTAAGTAGTTAAAATTTTGAATCAAGGTCTCACTAAGTTGCTAGGTTGCCCAGGCTGGATTTGAACTGGCAATCCTCCTGCTTCAGCCTCCCAGACTGCTGGGATGACAGGCATGCACCATCATGCCCAACTTCATTTCTCTTTTTGGCTGAATAATCTTTGGGTAGACCACACTTAGTTCATCCATTTATCAGTTGGAAGACATTTGGGTTGTCTCCTTTTTCACTATAGTGAACACTCATATACAAATTGCATATCCCCTTGTATCTTCAGTTCTCTTTGGTGTGTTCCTGGGAGTGAAATTGCTAGGTAGTGAGTTCTTGAAGACCTGCCAAACTTTTCCGCAGTAGCTGTACCCTTTTATACTGCTTGCAGAGGAGTGTGAGAATTCCACCTTCTCCACATTGTCATCATCACGTTATGTCATTTTGATTATAGCCATGCTAGTGGAAATAAAGTTTTGTTTTGATAGGGTCTTACTGTATAACACAGGTGGGCCTCAAACTCATAATCCTCCTATCTCGGCTTCCCGAGTGCTGGGATTATGGGCCACCATGACCAGGACACTATCCATAAATATTAACACCACCTGACCCCCCCAAAAATACCCTGCCCTGTGCAGGTGCAGACTAACCCAGCTCCACAAAACACGCACATTTCTTTTCTCTTTTTTTTTTTTTTTTTTTTTTTTCCTCCAGCTGAAACAGAACCTCATGAGGGAAAGAGGAAAGTGGAGTCTCTGTGGCCCATCTTCAGAATCCATCACCAGAAAACCCGCTATATCTTTGACCTCTTTTACAAGCGGAAAGCCATAAGCAGAGGTAATTGGCTAAATTCTGTCTTGGCCTTTGAACTTGAGTAACTCAAGAATTACTTAGGTAATGATCCATATCCTTGCAACTTCTATAAGCATCATGAGTTTTACTACTAAAAATGGGGAAATTGCTGGGCATGGTAGTGCACGCCTGTAATCCCAGCACTCAGGAGGCTGAAGCAGGAGAATGGATCGCTGTGAGTTTGAGACCAGCCTGAGCTACCCAGTGAGTTCCAGGTCAGTCTCAAGTACATAGTGAGACCCTGTCTCAAAAAAAAAAGGGGGGGAATTTTTTTCTTTTGGTACCAGGGATCAAACTCGGGAACTTGAGCTTGTGAGGCAGGCAGTGGAACCACCGAACTAAATCCCTGGCCCGCTTTTTAGTTTTTTGAGACAGGTTCTTGCTGTATACTTCAGGCTGGCCTTGAACTCAAGGCGATCCTCCAGCCTTAGCCTCCCAAGAAATTTTTCTTTTTAATGAGTGGTGGGCCAGGTTTGTTATGCCATGGTCTGATGCCTTTTCCCTATCTTTTTGACAGAACTCTATGAATACTGTATTAAAGAAGGCTACGCAGACAAAAACCTGATTGCAAAGTGGAAAAAGCAGGGGTATGAGAACTTGTGCTGCCTGCGATGCATTCAGACTCGGGACACTAACTTTGGGACGAACTGCATTTGCCGCGTTCCCAAAAGCAAGCTGGAAGTGGTAAGGCCTGATGCTTGAGTTTAATGTTTTCTTCAGTTCTTCAAAACACTGCCCGGACAGGGATTTGACTCAGTGGTTCCACTGTATGCCTTGCAAGCACAAGGGCCCAAGTATGATCCCCAGTACCATAAAAAGAAAAAAAAAAGAAAGAAAAATAGAATTTGGGCCCGGGATTTAGCTCAGTGGTTCTGCTGCCTGCCTTTGCCTTACATGCAAAGGCCTGAGTTCTATCCCTGGTACCCCCCCCAAAAAAAACCCAACACTGCCCTAGTCACCTCCAAGTGATTTTGTAGCATTTGGTTTGACTGGAGTGTTGTTTTGTCACTGGAGTCCTGCTGGCCCTCCTTCCTGGAATGAGCCCTCTGTTGAGGGATCTGTGCTAGCTGGGGTTTGGCAGTAATTCTGTGTGGTCTAGGGCTAAATTCAATGCCACCTTTGAGCAAGTGACTGAACCTCACAGTGGTGGGAGGACTCCATCAGGGAAGAGTGGCTGCTCAGCAGGAGTTACTTTCCCATTCCTTTCCATGTCACAGTCACTGCAATGTGAGCTAGGCTGAGCACCCCAGGAGAGGAGCTGGCTGTGCAGTAGCTGAGCTCGTTTCCTGCCCTTCAGAGTAGAACTGCAGAATGAGGCAGAGTAACCAACACATTGCCCATGAGTGCAGCCCCTCCAGTGGGCCAGTTTCCCAGCTTGGCCTTATTCTCCCTTATGGCATCCCATCCCATGACGCCCTCTGCACTGCGACAGTTAGTACCTGGAGCTTTGGCTCACCGGAGTCTGTCTCCTTGCACATTGGAGGCTTAAGCGCAGACATATGTAGTATGCTGAGGGCACCTTCAGGGGAAGGCTATGTGAGCTAGGCAGGGACTGACACAGGGGCAGAACCCCCATTCCAGGAGTTCAGGGTGCCATGGGGCTGTCTGGTTAGACATTTCCTCTTTGGCCCAAATAGGAGCTACCTGACTTAGCTGGGATTCACCATCTTGCTTGCTTTCACTAGGATCTTGCTCATTGAATATGTTTAAAATGATAAACCATTACTCTAGGGCATATGATTGCTGGGCAGACCCCCAGCCAGACACCAGGCCTGCAGGACAAGACTGTCCCACTGCCCTCAGGAAGTTGGGTGCATACACCCTTTTTTCCTGCCAGCAAGTGTCCCAGCCAAGAGATGGCACTGAGCCCCTGAGCAGTAGCACACTCACCAGGCTCACTGATAAAGAGTAAGACTCATCCACAGTCTTTTTTTTTTCTGAGCAAGATTGTATGTTGAATTTTCATGAATTAAATGCACATAAAAATGTAACATCAGTTTTCCACCTCTTTTTTAATTTTTATTTTTTTAAAGACGAGGTGTTGTAGTTCAGACCAGCCTTAAACTCACTATATAGCCTAGGCTAGCCTAAAACTCAGTGATTCTCCTGTCTCAGCCTCCCAAGTGCTGGGATTACATGTGTGTGCCACCATGCCTGACTTGTTTCCCTTTTCATGAGGAAATTTAAATTCTGTCCAGTACTGTCCATGAAAGGTTCTGAGAAGTGTCCCTCAGGAGTCCCATTGGCACCCTGCTCAAGGCTAGTGTGGTGGCTGTAGGGATGTGTGGTAGTAGCTGGGCATGGTGTCTCATGGTCAGCTGTCCTCTGTTGCAGGGTCGCATCATCGAGTGCACGCACTGTGGCTGTCGAGGCTGCTCTGGCTGACATCTGGCCCTGAGCCCTCTCCATCTTAGACTTTGGACCTTACAGGTTCTTACCATGCCACCCCCTTCCTGGGAGCAACTCTTCTTGGAGCATCACCCTGGGCCCAAGATGGAGCATGATCTTTTCAGGTGAAGGCTTGGTGTTCACCAGCTCTGATTTGTAACAATAAAACCTTTAAACCTCTTGGGTCCCATGTTAGTCTTTCAGGGTAGCAGGCCACGGAACCTGGAAGAGTGCCAGGCCTGGGACCACTACACAGGTGACCTCTCGGTTGAGGGTGAGCTGAGGTGGCTTGAGCTGTTGTAGGACTTGCTGTGGACTTGGGCAGCCCAGGCCTGACATAAGTGCTCAAACTCACACCTGCAGCGTGCTGTGCCCCCCAGGCAATGAAAGGTCCACACACTGTTCTGGCCGTGTGCCCCGTCACCTGCCCCCAAGGCCTCTGTCCGATCCAGTGTCTGTGACAATGTCCTGGTCTCCTTTGGGTTTGGTCCGGAACACCTGCCAGGGGTGGGGCGTTTCCTCTGCTGGCATTGCTTTCAGCCACTGCTTATAATAAGCTCGGAAGCCATCAATCTTCTCCAAGTAGGTATTCTTCCCTTGGTACTGTAATTGAAAAAACATGGGGCTCAGGAGAGTCCTTGGGCGATCCACATCACTGCATGTCACCTATAGCTGGCCCCAAACCACAGCATGCTGGAAGCTGTTCCTGGTGCCCTCCTTCAGGAACCCACAGGCAGCAGCATAGAGAAGCTTAATATGGAAGTGTCTTCCCAAATCCCTGACCCATGGATGTCACCCTAGCCCACAAGCTAGAACCCTAGGTCCTACCAACAGTGGCCTCTGGTCTGCTAAATACTTGCCCCTCAGCACAGCCACTGCCTCCCTGGAAAAGCAGTAAAAGGAAAAAGACAAGTACAGTAGATACTGAAGGAAAACTGCAAGGGGGCTATACAAAAAAAGTATGATCAGAGACAAAGGATGTTTCCACAAAGGATAAAAGGTTTGATTAAAAAGATTTAGCAATTCCTTGGGCCTGGGGATTTAGCTCAGTGGTTGCCTGTGCCTGCTTCGCAAATGCAAGGTCCTGAGTTCAATCCCTGGTACCAAAAAACAAAGATTTACCAATTCCAAATTTGATGTACCTAATACAGCTGAAAGTACACAAAAAGCAAAACTTGCTGGGCATGGTGGCTCACGCCTATAAAATCCTAGCATTAAGGAAGCTGAGTGAGGCAAGAGGATCATTGAGAGTTCAAGGCCAGCCTGAACTACACAGCAAGACTATGCTTTGTGGAAAAAAAGCAAAACTTGACGATCCCAAATAGAAATAAAAACAAGCCTAGTCTTGTATATGGTTTGGACACAATTTTAGGCCTCACATAGTCTTGTGACTGTTGCCAAACCTAAGAGGATCCCAGTGGTAGGTTATAAACCAGAGAGGAGAGAATCCAACAACCTGAAGTATTTACAACATGCAAATGGCAAGGTAGCATCTGGTATAAAGAACTCAGGATTCAATTAAGAAAGAGTCTGAAAACAACCAGATGTGCCCTCATCTGGCACAACCTTCTCTGTTCCATTCATTCCTATCCAGCTTTCCATGTGGCACTTAAGTTCTATACCTACAGAATGTTCCTGAGTCCACAGTGTGCCATTTTTTGTTACTTTCCCTGTCTGGGCTGTGTTCTGCCAAGCTGTGTTTGCTCAGTACAAGCTCAGCACAGGATCTGACTCAACCCTAAGACCAAATGACAGAGCCTGATATCCTTAGAGCAGTGGTCACTGCCAAACCAGCTGTCACTGCTCTGCTGCTGCTCACTCACTGGATACACAAGCAGCCTGCAGGCACTTGGGGTCCAGTGAACAGGGCAGACAGCCCATGGTAGAAGCCTGTGGCTTAGTAAAGGTGAAAAAGTCACACAGGTACATACATAATTACAGACCCTGAACTATGCATAGGCATAGGGCTATATGCTGTGGATAGCAGGGCATTTCTGAGGAAAGGCTTTTTAAGCAAGGACCTACAGGGAAAGAAACCAGGAAGTCTATTTGAGGCAGAGAGGATACAAATGTTCCCAAGACAGTGAAGAAACCAGTGGGACCAATAGTCAACTATAAGAAGACAGGGACACATGGACACGGGCTGTGAGATTTCTCCTAAGGGAAGCTGCTAGACAATTTTAAACAAAGGAATGCCAACTCCAAAAGGATAAAACAAGGATGGATATGGTCAAGGAGAAGACAGGCATCTTAGAGCTTGGTGCCTATACCTGGTCAAAGGTGGGTGGGTACGTGGCTGCAAACTCCAACTGGCGGATGACCACTTCGTTCACTGGGACTCTGCTGTGCTTCATGTCCTTCAGGATGCTGATGAGATAGGTATAGTCCAGCTTCTTGAGGGCTGCATTGATGAGGGTGCTGTAGATGTGGATGTTTGGGGTCATCTGGGATTTCTGGAACATTGTGGACAGCACAAAGTTAGCAAGATGCTGGCAGTTGTTGGGACAAAGATGTCCACGTTTGGGCACTGCCTTGCCAATCAGGTCTGCTCTAAAGACCAGCAGGGATGGGAAGGGTAGAACCTCACAGCAATAACAATGTGTCTCTCTATCCAGAAGGAAAGAGCATACCCTGCCCCCCACATCCCCGGAGAACTGTGTGGGAAGACAGTGGTGCTCTGGAGACCAACTTGGGCAGAAAATGAGGCAGGAGGCATTGCACTGCTGCTGTTTTTTGGTGATGTCATCACCAGCAGATGGTGGGCAGCCTAGAAAAGCAACCAGCACTGGCTAGGTGACACAAACTACTGGCCCCAGGAAATGTCCTCTGCTGAGATCAGATGAAATCCACTTAGTGCAGTTCAATGGGGATGAGGCAGGGATGTGTAGAGAACCATTGAAAAGCTCTGAAAAAGGCCCTTCCCAGGCCCACTGCCACCTCTCCATCACACCTCACCATCACCCTCTTCAGGGATCAGACAAGATAGGGTGCGTCCAGGGTGGTCTGCCCATAGCCTCCATCGTCAGATGAGAACACCCTCTGCTCTCAGCCTATACCCACAGCAGTTCACCAGGGTCTCCTTGCTCCAAAGGGGATGATAGCCATTCTGCACCACAGAGGAACTGCTTTACCTGTCCCACCCCAACTCTAGTTTATCTTGCCCCCCAGCTTCCTTCTAGAGCTCTCCTAGAGTGCTCCCCACCATGGACATCCGGCCTGGGTCTGGAACCCCTCACCTTCATGTCTGCAAGCAGCTGCAGACCATCTCTGGGCCTATGACACCCAATGGCCAGGTTGCAGAATGTCTGAAGATTGGGGATGAGTCCCCTCTTCGCCAGGACTGGCAACAGCGCCTGAGGATAGATATGCCATCACTATATCCTGTGACCCACCTGTCCTGGTCAGGCTTTTCTTTGGTGAGGTCTGTGGCTCGACACTGGAGACCTGAGGGGCACAACTTTTCTCAGAGGCTGCCTGGTTCTTTCTGCCAACTGCACTCCACTGTTGGCCTAAGCCCAGCACTCAAAGTATGAGTCCTGTGTGACTCTGTTCAGGACACAGCTTCCCAGCATGAGCACTGTGACCCCCAGCTTGCCTGTCCTGTCTCCATGAAAGCCCTTCATATTCCCACGCCACCCACCTGCCACCACATGCTCCTCAGCTGGCCATGCCTGCCCTTAGTCCCAGCACCAGGTGCCTTGAGAGCTCAAAGTCCAGAGCCAGAGTCAATGTTGACCAGTGTGGGAAGTGCTGGGTTAAGCAGCACCTGGACAAGCATGAGGAAGTGTCATACCCACAGACTGGCTAAGCCAGAGAGGGGTCTGGGGAAAGAGTTCTATCATCCTTAGCCTGCCCGAGAGAACATGTGCTCCCACAGTTGGCCTGAAGGCACTGGCATGGCTACCGCAAAAGTGCCTATGGCAGTGCTTCTGGGAAAAAAAAAAAAAAAAAAA